TAATAATCAGTAATCGAGATCAAGAAACCCAAACTAAACCCGAAACTAGTGAGGAAATTTTAGAATCATTAGATGCATCTTTGGTACGTGACAGTATTAATAAAGTTTATTTCGACACCCTTACTTTTAAATATACTCAATGTAATGCTTGTTTGTGTATTTTCACATGGTTTTTGTGTTCTATAAAATTGTAATTACATTATTACTCTATTTGCTTCAATAGTACACATTTGTTCAACAAGAAAGCCTGAGAATATAATATTGTAATACAATAATAATGTAAACCGCTTCGGCAAATCGGCAATGTAAACAATGACGTCACCGGTGGATTTTTCCACCGGTGATATTTGGCGCGCTGCAATTAAGTGACAAAAGTCCTTTCCACAGAGGAAGCGAAGCGCGCCATAGAAGGGTCTGGAAAGGACTTTGGAAAGTCTATAACCACCCAAGCATGTTTTAGAACTACAAATTAAGGTAAAGAAAAAGTATTTACTACAAATCTTACACCTCAGTTTGCTTGTCTTTATTAACTGTACTGAATATTTTATTGTAGTCGATAAATAGCCAAACAACCTGAATATTCGCATATTTTGTGTCAGTTCAAGAATGTTGTCTGCTCTACCTTCACTTCTTGAAACATAGTTAAAAGACATAGTATTACTATTAAAGAGCTCTAAACATAATTTTCTCAATCATTAAAGCACCAATTCCACTAGAACATCTCACATTGTTTACGAACACCGTTGAAAGTTTCGAAGCGGTCACGAGGTGTTCAAAAAGTTCATCACGTGGTACATAAAGTCAATCCCGCGCGTGCAAATCTCGAAGGATTCATTTACCACTTTTACTTCGGCGGTTTTGATAGTAACAAACACAACTGATCTCAAATCCAGTTCGCAAAACTGGAATTTTTAGGAATGCATTAAGCAAAAAAATAAACAGGTTATATACTGTTGATTAATAATTTAATAATCTTTTCCAAGGAGGTGATTTTAAGAATTAAGGTTCGTCTGTACTCGGACCGTTTATGAGACCTCGGGTCTGGCTCGGGAAAATATTTTTCAGTACGGACCTCCCATACAGCCGGTGGATATAGTACAACTAACAACAACCTTTTCGTCTTTATTTTTTAACATTATTTTGTAGTTCCACAAGGATATCTTCACAAGGCATATTCCTGTGGCCGACAAGGGCCGTTCATATATTGAAACCCAGGTACAACCTTACTTAGTTTGCTGTAAAAAGGACAACTTATTTTCTGATCTGTGCATGCATGCTCAGCGCTGTTACAAGTCTAGGACCTAGTATTAACTCTTACCTTTGATAGAAATTCTCGATATTTATTTCTGCTTGGAAACTCTATAAAACACATCATAGGTGGATTTTCAGATTTTGCTCGGGGGGTTGCCGAAGGGGGGGAGTTGAGTGATGCGGTGCCCCGCCGAAAAAGCTGCAGAGGTCTGGGGCGCAGTTGCTAATGAGGAGCCGAAGCTCCCAGGAAATTTGGAGATTGTTGGTCGTATTTAGTTGAAAATCCTTGTTTTTAGTCACCCCCTTCCTATGGTTGCATAATGGCTATGATCTTTCGTTGTGAAAACTGAAAGTCACATAAACAAGTAATCGGCTACGCTTATTGTCTGCTATGCACTGATTTCCACAAATAGATGTTGGTCTGATGAGGGACTCGAACCCCTTTTACTTTTACAACCGAACGCCATTACCATTTGGCCACCAAGGTTTAAAGTGTACTTGACAAAAAAGCATATTTATAACGGGTAAATTAAAATTTTGCATCCTCAAATTGCCAAAAACCTGCCCAGTCTTGTTATATGACGTCATGCACACATAATGCTCCACACCCTCACTCCCTCTTACCCTGTGGCGGCTTGCGCCCCATCACTTTTTGCTCATGATGATGCGGCCGGTTAAATTTGTCCCTCAATTTTTCCCGAAATTCCTCCTCTATTCTGTTATAATCTCTATGACCCAGTTACAGTACCTCATTAATTTCGTAATGGTCGATAGCACGTCTAGCGATAATGTATTGATTCTTTATTTAGGTGTTGGTGAATTTGATAAGTAGAAAAGTATTTAATCATGATCTGCATGAAACACACAACATGCACGATGGTGTTTATAATGTGAAAGTGTTGGAAAAATCGCTTAATGTGCTCTTGAAGAGACATATTACGTATGTATTGGTTTGAGTATATTGGAGTATATTTGAGTATACTCAGTATCAGGGGTCGAAACATATTTTACTTTCTGGGACCGCAAGAGGTTCATTGAAAAATTTTCTGCAAATAATCAAATAAATCGACACTTGTGTGTGACACTAACAAGTTGTCAGATTGAATGTTATGTAAGTTATATATTTTAACAGAAAAATGATCGGAATATAACATAAAACTAATTTAGATAACATGCATCTAGGGCTCTGATCCATCGAAATTAATGTACTGTAGGTCTGATCCTAAGGTAAATACAGATGCCAAAAAGCGTACCACCAGGGGAATCCATGCTCTGCCAGAAAAATTTGGAAATCAAGTGTCCTAGATTGGCTAAAAATGCATTTGCCATACAACATTTGATACATCATTCTACCGTAGAAGTCTATACATTTATACACTAATTGCACTATTAAGATAGATGCACTTATAATTGCATTTTCCAGGGCATACCCATAAGCTACAAGCAGAGGTGTAACTTAACACTTGCTCGCTTGCCCGGGGCAAGTGAATATCATGACGGGCAAGTAAACGTTTTATCTTGCTTGCCTGATTGGGCAAGTTGCCTTGCCACAATAAGCTAGGCATCTTTAAGTTTATGTTTTGAGTGTTGGATAAATTTTTTATAGTACATGTACTTGATTCAAATTTTGTTTTTTGTGGGCCAAAGCTAGATCTGAGGCATTATAACATAGCCATATAGAGCAGTGGAAGAACCCTTAATTTATACCCCCTACCTAGGTACCCCAGTGGTCATTGTCCTTAGGGCAAGTGGTCAAAAAAGTTATACCACTGCTACAAGTACACTATCCTTTCTATTGGTTAGAATCTTTATCTTACAATTATCCTATTTTCTTTCTTCTGGAAATATTTTCTGGGAACTCAGAAAATTTTCTGGGACCAATGATCCCCTGGTCCGATACTTTTTCCACCCCTGTTCAGTACTGTATATTGGAACTTCAGCATGATACTACTGTACTGCCTATGAGAACGATTTTACGAGTATGAAGTACAGTGGATGTCGCCTCTAATGTATATGCTGGCTTTCAGGGCGCGAAATAACGGCTGGAGGGTCGCCGGTCAAGGTGATCGGCCAACTCAATTTTAGCTCGGACATACCGAATTTCTGGCCGGTCAAATTATTCAGCTTAAAGCATAGCCTTGTAAAGTATACCCCTAAAAATGTGACTATTTTCCCAGTATAGCATTACAAAAAGCCTTACTGTAATCAGTAATTAAAAACTCCTTCACATAAGATAGCTTGCACTGCGCTAAAAGCATGGCCTTAACTCTTAAACCAAAAGCATGGCCATGGGCTTTGTGACGTACTGTGTGGGAAAGCTGGCGTACATTGAAGTTCTTTTCCCGCCAAACATTCGACAACATGTTATGGTTCTTAATTATACTACTTGACAACTTTATTTTGATTATTAATTCAAATGAAGATTAGTTTGTTCTTTCACCGAAAGTGACCGGTCAAAATGACCGGCAAGGTAAGAATTTGACCGGACAACTCCGCATTCTGGTCGGACATTGTCCGTTGACCGGCCGTTATTTTGCGCCCTGGCTTTGGGTATTTATCGCCAGTTTTCCAACCTACGTTTTTCGACACCACAACTGATTAGATACAGTAGCTTAAGATCTACGACGTCGACGTCAGCTAGGGCGTCAGGGCTGTGAAGAGGCCTGCTCCCGGGCTGTATAGCCGTTTCACCACTATGCAGTATAAGCGCCCTGGTAAACCATCTTCAAAAGTGAGACATGCATGCAAGAAGACCCAAATTGAAGGCACTACGCTGTAAAATTTTTGTTTTTCGAAAAACCATTTTTCTCCATGGCACACCCCTGATTGGATTGTGACATAACTGTTGCCTAAAATAATTATAGTAAGTTGTGGAAATACTATTTTCTGGACGCAGAAATCAGTATGTTTTTGACATGCAAATAATAATATGCATGCCTCTACTGACTTCGTGACTCGAAAGTTTCCACGTTTCCCACCTCTACTGACTTCGGGACGCGACAATTTCGTGGTAACTGCATTTGTAGGTTAAGGATTGTTCAATGTTCACCGTACTGTTAGTACAGAAGCATTATGCTTGACATTTGTTTTATATTTAGCTTCTCTGAACTGAAAACTATCCGAATTGCATTTGAGGTTTACGAATGTCAAGATTTATCCGGTATGGAAGTCTGTCCTCATATTATCTTACGAGCTTTAAAGGTAAATCCATACATTTAAATGTTTCACTACTTTTTCGACCTGTAGCCACTGTTTTAACTCGAGCCGCCGTTCGCCGCTACACAGAATATCTTTAACCTCCAGGCGAACAGCAGACAGAAAATATTTGAAGAGGCAATTGTTTTGGCATATGCAAAACTTTGGATCAATGAGAATATAACATTCCTAAAATCCTAAATGCATGATTTCATATCCGACCAAGACGATGGATTCGATGGACCGGTTGTTCGAAAGCTGGTTAACTTACAGTAATCCTGCAATCTTGGACATAACTGTTTGAGACTATCCCCCCCCCCCCCTATACAAAATTCTTATACCCTTATGATAAATTCCATGTTGAATAATGTCGCGTTTCTTCAGTCCCCGCTCCCCCAACTCAATGTTGAGCTTTTGTCATAATGATAAATTACCAAAAGTTGTTTCGGCGTTGTTTACAACATTGAACTGGAGGGGTGACAAGATTTGTTTTGTCAGTGTTCATTAACTTTGCAATATTTTCTGGAACGGTCTCAAGGGTCCAAGATTGCAGGTTAGCGTTAATCTTTCCAGCTAATTTCTCAACAGCTTGTTTATTAAAACTTGTCTTGATCAATAAAAGTTTTATTCCCATTTTAAAAACAAAACAGCGGGTTAAATTTTAACCCTGGGTTAGCACTAATCGTGCTTTGAACAACCGGCCCACGACGGACGATTTTTAATTTATTTGGACGATTTTAAAATAAATTCTATCCACACCCAAAATTTCCAAATCATAGTTAATTACAAAATTTTTTGGAATGACCAACCTTTTAAACATCGGCTAGTGTATCCATATAGTCATGCATTCACTTCATTTTTCGTTTAAGGTTATACAACAACGTTATATCCAAATATTATTTGAATATGTTATGAACCAGTATTATCCATGATTATAAAAATATCAATTTATACCCTTTAGATGTGTGGTCGTGTTATTTCACCTAGAAAACTTATGGATTGCGTACGTATTTTATTATCGTGTTTTCCACTTGTAGACTACTGTGAACATTACTTGTAAAATAGCTAGACGCTCAAACGAAACGTATAATTGGCTAATTTGTGATCACGTGTATTTAGATAAAGGCAATGTACCCCCCCCCCCCCCCCGGGCAACAAGTGAAAATTGTTGCTTGCTCCGACCGGCTATACGTACATAAATGCTGAAAATGGAGCCAACTTTTTAGAAAGAACTTTTTGCCAGTTTATGAAAGAATACAATAGGCAACTAGAAATGTTGCTGAAATACGTTTTAGCAAGTTATTTTATTTTTATATAAGAATCATTTACATTAAGAAGTTTTATTCATGAGATAGAATTGTTTTGTGACTGTTGTTTATTTTTTCTTATTCCCTATATAAGAGAACATTTTTAAGTGTTAGACATTAAAATGTTTGTTCACTCGGTAAAAAGTTTGTTTTGTTTTCCCTCGATTCTCCATGTTAACCTCCACTCCGTCTCGAGAGTGATTGAAACTCTCGGGAAAACAACACTAACTATTTCCTTCGGGGACTGCAGACATTAAGTGCACTTGGAACTTATCTTACCAAAAATCTCAATAAAATACCGTTGTTCACCTCTGGATAAACAACATGCATGCAGCTGTGGGTTGACCATTCGTCCCCAGAGCCGTTTTCACTCGGTTACTCTTTGAAAATTAGGCTCTGGGTTAGACGACTAAAGGGATAGATCTGATTGGCTTCTCAGAGAACTGCTATTTCCCAAACGTTGAGCAGTTTTCAGAATTATTCTATCAATTGAAAATATGTCAACACAAATACTTCGTTTCTTCGTAATACTTCTCTGTGAAAATTGTTACGGGAGCTGAAGCGTCCCAAATCAAGAGTATGCGCTTTAGAAGCCACTGCAAGTTTTCTTGCCTATGAAGATCGTGCGCGGCCGAGAGCCCTGGGAACGAGGATATAGGCTGACGCTCTGTTTTTTTGTAGTCGCTGTTAGGTACCAGTCCCTTTAATATCGATACCGTTCGATCACATCTTTTCATTTCAATATACGCTCGCACACCTAGGTGTAGTATCTGGATAGATATATCATTTCTTCTTTTTCCAGATAAAACATATGCCTCGTGATGTTCCAGATCGCTTGACGCTTTACGAATTTATCGAACTCGTACCAATGTAAGTGTATAATTCTCTGGAACATATACTTAATATTCGCACCTGTAATGGAAAAACGGTTTTTGTTGGCTGTTATAACACGATAGTCTACAGTGTATAACAGAACGTTGACAAATTGCCGGACAATTCTATACAATTTCAATCGTTAAAATATTTTCTTCCATTTAATGTATTTTATTTATTTTATTTTACAAGTTTGCCATTGCAATGTATGTATTCCGCCAAAGCTCCGGAAATCTTTATCGCCTGCTTCTTTCTTTGAAACATTTGTCTTCATACAAATCTGCATTTTTCATTGCATTTAATGGAAAAGTACAATAAACATTAGGGGTGCACCGCAACCAATTTTTAAAGTTCCGACCGGAACCGGATCGGGCCGAAACTGGAAAAAAGTTCCGGCCGGAACCGATTCATTAAGCGATATATGGTCACATGTTACTTTGTCTGCTGCCAGACAGTCAGACACTTTCAGTCATCAAGGAAAGAGCACGCAAATGTTAGAATAAAAAGATTGACTAACGTTAAACGTCATAATGAAGTGTTAATAGTGTACATTTTTCTTGTGTAGTCCAAATTTCTTCCTATGCTATTCAATAAATAAACTTGATAAATCGGGGTTCCGGCCGGAACTAACCGGCCGAAACCGAGTTGCGGTGCAGCCCTAGCAAACATATATAAAAGTGATTTATATAATCCAAAAACCAAAAATAGGAAACAAATACAGTAAGATGAAGGAATAATTTTTGATATTTTAGCATGTTTGATTCATCTCTTTCCAACAAGAACTTCATCAAAAACTGGACAAACAAATTACGATATTTATAATGTCGTCAATGATTATCCAGCTCTAAATCCGCGTAATTTGTCATCGCAGTCGCTAACTTAAAATGATTCTGAAAGCCCCAGGATTTAGAATGATTTTGATTTTACTAACTTAGAATGATTCTGAAAGCCCCAAGAGCAACGTGGGACAATTTGCCCGTAGCAAAATTGTATTAATAATTATCTATGTAAATTATTATAGGTGTGAAAGAATCTGCGATGTGAACGTTAAACTTCAAAAACAAGCTGATGTTAAACGACGTAGACGCTCGAATGTATCTGAAGTAAGTTATCATTAAGAATTTGCCGGTGTTTTTATGGTACTCTCCGATTGTAATTGACTTGCAAAGACTCGTATTGGCCCCAAGGTCTTCATGCATGCATGCTTAGAGTTCCCATGACAATTGCCATGAAATTTCAGAAGCGATGCACTGGGGGCTTATTAGAGGGGGGAAGGGAAATAACGTAAAGAGGCAGCTAGGGGGAGGGAGTTAAATAGATTTTCACATTCTTTATACTTAGGTTGGTCTGGTAGTGATGGCGGTCGTTACACGGGCAAATATCTCGAAATCATAAAGAAAAGCTGAAACACATGATTTTGACCAATTTGGAAATTTCGACAAGAAAAACAAGTCACATATTAATTTGACGTTTAAATTATGGCCTTTGCATGATTAAACAAGCGTAATTCTTTATAAAACGTTGGTGTTTGTATTTCGCTGAAAGTCTATATTGAGACTGATTTAATTAATTGAAAATTATGGCTGTGTAAAGGGTGTGGTTTTTTCCGTATTTCTGGACTAGGGAGGGTATTATTAGAAGTGGCGTGAGCGAGCAGTTTGCCAGTTTATAATAGGAACTTAGTTTCCTTCTGCTACTATCCTCCCTATAGTCTTTATGTTAGTAATTGTTCGAATCTATTATTCGTATACAGTTGTTTATTGTGTATATTGGGAAATATTTATTAAGTCATTAAATCAAATAAGGGGAATATGGTCAACTAATTTATGTATACTTCGTGTAGCTGGCAGATTTTCAAGAAATCTTACTGCAAGAAGAGAAAAAGCAAACTGACTTTCTAGATGACGATTACGAGGTATATACAGTGTATGAAATATAGTTTTTTTATTAGGTGAATTATGTTGGCAATGATTCAGCTATGACGATTACGAATTTGAGCCAAATTTCCAAACAGTTGTTACTTCTCTAAAATTTAAGTGTACTTAAAACGATATTTTTAGAATTGAAAATTGCTCACCTAATTAGTGTTCGTTTATATGGTGACCATGAATTTTTAATATGGATGCCGATTCGCTTTCGAATAAATTCACTTTGGTCCATAAGGTGAATCTGGCCTTCGGAAACAAGGTCCGTTGACCTCAAACATTTTATAATTTCACCGAAGTCCGTTGCTGCTTTATGCTACTACTTCAGTGTACGCGGCTCTATAATTGCTATGTTGATGTTAAACTCTTGATTGTTGGGGGTAATGTTATTACGAGAGTTTTTAGAAGGCTCAAAAGGTTAACATTATTTTCTGGGGAGGGGAGCTTTAATTAGAATAGAAGCACTTATAAATGACGCTATAGTCTCTTACGCAGGCAAAAATGGCAGAGTTACTGTACTTGTGGAGTTAGAAGTACGGGGATTTATTTCCTCACTGCACTATCATCCCTGATGATCCATTGTTACCCCCACCTTTTTCTGTTAATTGTTGCGTAATTATGCCTTTCTTGCCACCTGAGTTGCTAGCGGAGGAGGCTAAAAAGACGCCATGTTTTGGAAAACGATTGTTGCATGACAACTGCAAAGCTGTTGCTCTAAATATGGGTTACTGATCAATGGAAAATATTCCTCATTACTTGCATGCATGTACATGGTGGTGGAAACACTACTTTTTAATCAGTTGTCTTTCTTATATAGCAAAGCTTTTTTCGACCTTCCTTTGAGGATAAACCAACATGGAGGGTACCGCCTGAGGATGTTATAAACAACGAGGAATGGATGAAACATGTAAGGACTCTTTTTTAGTTAATCTATCTCTTGGTCTGAGTTCCATTTTCCGATTCAAAACGCCAATACCCTGGTAGAAATCTTAGGTAGGATCCTAACAGGATCCTAACAGGATCCTAACAGGATCCTAACAGGATCCTAACAGGATCCTAACAAGATCCTAGCAGGATCCTAGCAGGATCCTAGAAGGATTCTACCAGGATCCTATTCAGGATCCTACAGGATCCTATTCAGGATCCTGTAGGATCCTACAGGATCCTATTCAGGATCCTACAGGATCCTATTCAGGATCCTACAGGATCCTATTCAGGATCCTACAGGATCCTATTCAGGATCCTACAAAGTTCCTAGCAGGATCTTGTCAGGATCATGCAAGTTCCTAGCAGGATCCTATCAGGATCCTACAATGTTCCTAGCAGGATCTTGGCAGGATCCTGGAAAGTCCCTAGCAGGATCCTGTAGGATCTTATCAGGATCTTACAAAGTTCCTAGCAGGATCCTGTAGGATTTTGCCAGGATCCTACTGAATTCCTGGCAAAATCCTATAGGATTTTGTCAGAATATAATATTATACAGAATCTAATGTCAGGAGCTACACTGCAAAGCACAAAATTACTTGCTTTCAAGAAAATTTTACTTGTGCCGTGGGTAAGTAAGATATTCTAGGTAAGAATCAGATTTCAAGAAAATTATTCTTAAAATAAGAAAATTATTTTTCGTTAGAACAAAATTCTTGGTAAGAAAATTTTTCTAATTTTGTCCCGTACTAAAACAATTAAGAATGTTTAAAATAATATATTTAACAGCTATACATGAATAGGTTATTAACCTAGGTTATTAATTAACCCATTAAGCTGGAGAGCTTCCCCATTGACGAGTAAAATCGTCTGGCATTAGACAAGTAAAAAAATAAGTAGGGCGCATTGCAGTTCAATGGGTTAAAGTAATTACCGACAGATAAAAGTAAAAGTTCTCACTCGTAGCAATATTGTTCAATTTCTTGAAAAGCATTTACCATGTCAGACTGCCAAGTCAGGATGGGTAGTCCAAGCCAAGCAGGTAGAACGAACCAGGAAGTAAATCACGGCTTTGACAATTTCGCCATTCTTGAATGTTGCCAATACTGTAGCTCCTTGTCATGATCAGCCCTGGTTCAGTATGTCATGGATCAGCAGGCTTCTTTTGTAGCCAGGTAGTCATCAAGGCCATGTCTCCTTCCTTTTTTGGAAAAAACCCACGAAATTAGTTTTGGTAACAACTACACAACCCATTAATTAACAGCTTATTTTTTCACTAACATGCTATCCTCTGGGATTAGACACTAGAGCGAAATACTACGATGGATGGAATAAGAGAAAGTTAAGAGAGTCAGTTTTGTTAGCCCATATTAACTTATCTCAACTATAGGAAGGCTTAAAACTAAGAACATGTATACATACACTAAATTTGATTCAGGCCTTACTAAATGAATTTTATAAAATGAGACTATATTAACCTCACCTCAACAAAGTTTATGATGTCCACTTTGCTCTTAGCTGAGCCTGAGGTTTACTTTTTTATTTGAAGAGTGAATTAATGTTCTTCGTTAAGTGGAGTACTTTTGTGTCTAGAATTACATGCATAAGAATTACCAGATGACTGTTCAAGTAAATAAGTAGGTCCAATTGAATGAATTGATCAATCAGCTTCTTTTCACAATTCCTCATGTATGCGCTTTCTTCTGCTTTAATTCTATATATTGGGTTAACAATTTTATGATTCAGATAGATAACATTGTGATTTCCTCAAGTTTAATACTCTCAAATATAAATTTTCATAATAATAAATAAGTCGCGGCTTAAACAAATCGCGAATGACTCGTGTAAACAGTCAATTTGTTCGCAAGCGCGGCTAAAATAAGCCCAGGCTTGAAAGCTAGGCCTAAATTAGCCGCGGCTTATTGCAACTGTTTATATGAGTCGATCGTTCACGACTTATTTAAGCCGCGGCTTATTTTATAGGCCGCGTCTTTAAATATTTTTGCTCGTATAAATGGCCCTATTGTTTAATATTCCATGTGCCCATGTGGGTTCAAACATGCTTTATCGAGTTTTGTCAAACAAGTGCAACCCAGTAATTACTATAATGTGTTTATTCAAAATTTGAATTGTTGATTTTGACTAATATTTGACGCAGTCAATACAGGTCAATACAAAGATTGAGGGAGGCACATTTTGTAGCTCCGCTAACTTTGAAAATCTCGTTCTAAATTTCATTGTTCTATCGCATTTTACCGATTATATACAAATTGAGAATGTCTGTTTCAAACAAAGATCTATTTACAACAACGAACAGCGATCTGGACGAAATGACAGACGAACTAACCGCAGCCGAATTACAACCCGGCCAAATATTCGACCACATCGAACTGGAAAATAGCAACTGTAGTACAGTATTAAATAATGAAGACTCTAGTAGATTGTCCGAAGGCAATGTCTTGGCCGCGAAGAAGCTCAAGGGAAATTTAAAATGGCAAGGCGACTACAATGAACTCTGTCAATTTGTTGATGATCTACAACTACAGCCGGGCAGTTGGTCAACACCAGGAGGTAACTGTAAACTTTTTGAAAACGGCGAAGTAGCGATACGATGGTACTCGAATACGAGAACAATAACTCTAAAAGGGGAGAGAGCAGCCGAAGTTAAAGATAAAATAATAAAACTCAACCAGGAGTTGGGCAGCGAAGTGATGCAACAAAGCTCAAATTATGCAAAAAATTTGCATGCCGACTTGGAAACAACAATCAGTCATTTGCATACCGGGTCACAACACGATAATCTGAAAACTAATGTAACGTCCAAAACTGACTCAGAAATGAACCAGCTAAGATCGAAGTTGGATAACTTTACTGAGATCGTTAATAGAAAACTGGAGGTTCTTGCCGACGAAGTATATGCTATTAAAGAAAACAAACCGTATTCTATACTAGTGTTAGAAGATGTCAATAACGAACTAAAGAAGGAAAAAATAGAGCTTATTAGAAAGAATGAAGAATTGGAAAAAAAATATTTGAACTTATACCAATCTACGTCGGTATTGAGAGCCAAGGTTACCGATCTAGAAAACGAAAAGTCTAGTCTTACGACAGCTCTACGACTAGTTCACCAAGATAATGACTTATTAAGTAAGAGGTTAAACGACCCAAAAACCCATTGCGGTAATACGTTAGCTGCTGTGACATACCCACAAGATGACTTACCTGATAAAGCTGAAACAAGAGATGGGCCCTCTACTAGTGTCGAAAAAGGAAATCATGAAGCATCTATGACTACAGAATTAATGGTGACAACAAGAAACCAATACGAAGCTCTTACAAACCGCGTCTCCGATACAGATGACAACGCCAACTCATCTGTACAACTAATCCACGAAAAAACGATTACGCAACAAGAATCTAATCATCCCAACATACACAATAAAGAGGAAGTGAGAAACGTAAAGAAACGAGGAGAAAAGAAAGGAAATCCTTCTCAGCAGCATAGATCTCCTAGTTCATCTAACTCGACTAGCCTTAAAAACGCAGTTGAAAACAACAATCCGGTCACGATAATTATTGGAGATTCTATGATTAAAGGACTTCGTCCCGACAAGATCTCCAAATCGGTTAAGCACAAAGCTCAGGTTAAATCCTTTCCTGGTACAACAGTTGAAGATCTAACTGATTACATAAAACCTTCCCTAAAGAGGAAACCTAAAAACATTATAGTGCACGTAGGTACTAACGATTTGAAAATGAAAAGTGCTAAAGATGTTGCAAAGAGCATTGATAAGCTATGTAAATCTATCAAGTTGGATC